TATGTAATATATGTATATGTTATTATGTATTGTTCTATATAACATATATAAATGCATGTGTGCACGCACACACATACTGCATCTTTCATTTAATCACCAACATTAAAAAGCAGACTTGCATGAGAGGGAATGGAGACTCAAACAAGTCTGGTAGGTCAAATATTTGTCCTGCCAACCTTAACAGAGCCCCTTTAATCCACGTAAATATTAAGCTTGTTAACTGATTTCAGCAAAGCAGATCTTACTGTAGACTTCCATCTGCAATTCAGTTATCTTGCTCCTAGTGTTTCCTTTTGTTCACAGGACATTATTTCCCTACTCCAATCAAAAGTCCTCAGTGGATAAAAACCAGTGTGATCGCAGTGAACTTTAATATACTTCACAAGATATTCTTCTTAAGAGCTCTTCCCCCCCCCACTGCAATAAAGGCAAAGAAACCTCAAACCATGAGACAGTTATATATGAACCAGGAGGCGGCTATGGGTTACAAAACAATATTGCTTTATAAAAGAGAAATTTTCATTATCTTTATTTTTAAATTACATAGAGGTGCTTTCCTTATAGCCCACACAGCCACAGGTCACCACAGCTTCTCCACCTGAATTATAAGCACTCGCTACCAAGGCTAATATGAACGCCGGCACTGAATATCCTTGGTAATATCCAGGTGACAGACCTGAGCTGTTTGACAGGAATCAGAGGGTTGTAGGGGCCACTGGGCAGGGTCAAGAACCCGAGAGAGAATGACACCAAGGCAGGAAGCTTCAACTCAAATTTGTTTAGCTCCTGTTTGACACAAGGACATTCAGGATGCATTTCTGGGCTTAGCTCCATGCTCGTAGAAACTCTGCAGCTTGCTTTGTAATACTGATGGGGTTTGGAGAAAGACCTGTGACAAAAAAACCCACCAACCTGTCCTTTATTCTGCTGCGTTTGGCTGTTCTGGTCGGACCTGGTGGAGAACACCTTGCATTCGAAAGCTCATCTAACACTACCCAGCTACACCATGGGCCCAACAAAAGACACCACCCTAAGAAATCCTTGCCCCTCATAGCAATAACAAATCATACTACAAGCATCCTTTGTGTATATGACAAATGATGACCCAGAGAGTAAACAGTCAT